AGCGGCCGATTTCCGTAGGAATCGCGTACCGCGTAAATTTTGTCCTTATGCATGACAACCAGCGAGTATGAAAGTGGAGCGAGTGTCATAAATTGGCGTATGCGTGCTGGCCAATCTGGACCATCATGCTCACTGGCATCCTCGGGTGCACAACAAAGAGACTGTGCGATTAATTCACTATCACTGTGAGTGGAAAGACCTACACCACGTTCCAACACCTTAATGTATTAGTTGAGATGAGTGGCATTCGCATCGTATAAATAATCGTTTAATTAACTATGTACTTACAACTCGCCGCAGCGACTCGCAGTTGATCAGCTCGCCATTGTGGGCGATCGCCACCGCGCCATGGGCTGTGTGAACAACAAATGGTTGGCAATTCACCACTTCCGATGCCGCTGCTGTGGAGTATCGCGTGTGTCCAATGCCTAGATTTCCCTTTAATCTCCTAATCGAATCATCATTAAACAGATTGCTGATCATTCCCATTCCTTTGTGAATGCTAAGATTCTTGGAATTTTTGCCTTGGCTAGTGGCAATACCAGCCGATTCTTGTCCACGATGCTGCAGTGCTACCAATCCGAGGCAAACGACCTGAGCAATATCAATCTGAAAAGCCAATAAATAAGAGATTATTTGTACAGCTGTATCAACGTCCGTAACTTGAGTGACGAAATCTCATGAGTATTTGACGTGAGACAATCAAGCTACAAATACAATGACCTATAAAGGAATATTACGCTTTGACGTCAGAAATCGACTACAATAACAATAATAACCTAAATAAACAAGAGCAAGATTTATAAACAACCACAATTACGACCACTCTTAGACCCCCAAGCGAGCGCAGCGCTACTTTGATAAGCCCCTGAAATCAGTCCATTGTAATTAATTAGCTTTCCATGGACCAAAAGAAATCCTACAATAATAATCAACATTAATTCAATGCTGACGTCAATACTGATAAAGACATACCCATTAATGATCAATTAATAATTTCAGCTATTAGAAATTTGAAATAATATATATATATATATACATATCGCACGCTTAATAATTTGTCTACAGAATTATTTCAAAATTGCGATTTTGTGGGAAAACGCAATCAAAGTTTGATCAATTCAGATGGAAACACATACATCTTCGCCATTTTTAGTAAGTTAAGCCATCCGCTAGACTGAACATCTTCTCCTTATCAAGCTTATCAATTTTATAAGGAAATCTCCAAAAACGTAAATTTTGAGGTACATCTCAATATTATTAAACATGCGATATATGGAGTTAAATTTTTTTATAAAAAATAAAAGTAGTTTTTCGAGTGCAGTAATGAGTTTTTTGTGAATTGTTATTTTAACATGAACATGTAGTTTTAAAAAGTAAAGTAAAATTGTCTTGTAAAAGTGCCACATTTCACTATTGGACTGGTGAGGATCTATGTAGTGATGTACTATCAGATTGGTTCATTTTTGGCGATAAAGAAGTAGTACTGAACTAAAAATTGTATTTACTAATTCGGGTTTTCCCTGCAGGGATGTGCGTACATATATAACGTCCACTGAACAGAGCGTGCTGTTTTCAGTAGATAGGCGAGGGGCCTGTCTCTTTTATGCGTAGCTGTCGGCGACCATTGTAATTAATCTCAGACTAATGGTCTATCAATAATAACTAAATTGACATACAGTGATAATATACATACATGCTTATGTACGCAAAATTGTAAGTCATTTCAAAACTAACATATCACTACATTCTGTTATTTATGTATGTATATTTCCAGTAGCCTATACATGAGGCAGGGCCAAACACAAACCTTTCAGATAAGGTTTGTTCGACTTCAAAACACACTTCATTCATACACAGAGTTTTTATTATTTATTCCAAGATAGGTAACCTAATTTTAAAAATTTGTAAGACTTCTGTATGAAAACTTAACAAAAAAAAATACAAAATATAGGTACGAAAAAATCAATATGCTCACGAGTCTAGGGGCCAAGTATAGTCAAGCTTCGTTTTTAGTTTTTCTCTCTGAGGTTAGGATTTTAGCCCACCCCTTGTGTGCGCTAATGATACGGCCACATCCTCGAATTTCGTCGTTCTTTATTAGCTTAAAAACTAAAAAATTATTTGAAGGGCTTTTCCCAGTGGCGGACCCACGGGGGGTTTTTTAATACATAGACGCCATATTATACATACATATGCGCCATACTAAAACACACCCCGTGCGTCCGCCACTGACTGACACGTAGTTTAACACCAAAAACCCCCCTGCTGGATCCGCCACTGGGAAAAGCCCTTCAAATAATTTTTTAGTTTTTAAGCTAATAAAGAACGACGAAATTCGAGGATGTGGCCGTATCATTAGCGCACACAAGGGGTGGGCTTTGCGGTTCAAACCCCTCTTATAGCTAATAACTTCAAATACAAACTGTATCTTAAAGCTTAGAATACAGCTCTCAAGAAAAATCACAAGAAATATTTTTTAATATTACTGTTGCTTGAAAAAGCACTTTGCTTTTGCTGTAAATTTTCTTGAAGAAGTAAATATACGAGCATTTTTATCTTGAGAGCTGCTTGCTTTTCCATTTCTTGTGCGTCATTTTATATGAATTTTTCGTTTTTCTTGAGAGCTCTTAAAAGTTTAACTGCGAATGTAAACATTGTCCTAAAAATATGCAATGCATACTCACTTACTATTGTTTTTAACACTTTACAGCCTAAAAGAGTTTACCACTGATTCTACCACTGAGATCTAATTTGCCAACTTCAAATTCGTTCCACCAAAATGAGCTACATAATAAAAATACAAGTTCGGTTAACTTTTTCGTTATTCGAAATATTAAAAAATTTGGCAATCACGAAAAATCACCATCTCGATCGAAAACTAGAAACAAGAAATCGAGGAAAATTAACACTAAAACTCTTTGTTAACATTTTTTATTACTTTTGAAAGTTGACCGCATCTTATGTTTTATAGAACTTTTTATTAAACAAGTAATTTTTAAGCAAAAAAAAACAACCGACTTCAATTTTCATATACAAATTTAGGAGTACGGTTAATTTTTCATGATCCAATGATCAGATCTAAAACAAATTACGGGGCGACCCTTGAGGCCCCATCTTTCCGATTAAAAAAGAATTATTGAAATTGGTTCACGTGGTCCAAAGTTATGCGGTAGCATATAGAAAAATAAAAAATATTCCGACGAATTGATAACCTCCCCCTTTTTTTGAAGTCGGTTAAAGTAAGTCGGGAAAGGTTTCAGCTCTTTGTTAATTTGTGCAATTATGAAACTTTGCAAAATATATTTATTTATTACATACTGTACATTTCAAAGCGTATATTATCTGAAGCGAATTTTCAGTATTTTCTGATGTTATATCCCGAAACTCTCATGTCTTTCAAATTAATTTAAAAAAAAATAAAAAATCATCAAAGGTATGGCATCTTCCGAAAATTTTGTTTTGTTTTACTTTTCCACTCAATAAAACATAAAAAGTGTTTATTTCACACATCGTTTTTTATGAACGCACAAAAATAAATAATATATCAAATTGTTTGAAATCCATTGAGAAAACATTAAATTATTGTATTCAACAATTTTTATTGAGCTTGAGGCCGTTTTTAATGAAAAAATAATGTGGAAAAGCAGCAACAATTGGGAAAAATGGTCGAAGCGATAGCTATTTCGGAAATCACCACATTTCCTCATCAGACTTCTTCAGCGGGATTCGAACCGACGACCCCATATGACTCAGCCAGTTGCCTACGCACTGTGCGAAGTTCGCCTTATAAACTATTGTTGCTTTTTCCACTTTTTCATGTGAGCCAACTACAATCAAGCCCAGCTATTCCAGTGCTGTTTAAACTTGATCATTTGGTTGTTGGTTTTTGTTAATAATTCTATTTTTAGTTATTCATTAAAGACGGCCACAAGCTCAATAAAAATTGTTGAATATAAGTGTTATAAGGTCATAAATAACAAAAACAAATAATTAAATTATTCTGTGGTTAATTTTTCTCAAATGCTTAAAGAGTTAGGTATAAGTAAAAAACGATAATTTTTGAAAACTAAATGTTAGCGATATATCTAAGGGCGTGGTTTTCGTCCGATTTGGTACAGATTGGTGAAGTGGTTTCGAGACACATATATTTGACATAAGTGGGCGGGCCAAAAAAAATTTTACGACAAACTAATTTTCGCTTAAGATCCATTGGAAACATCATTTTTGAGTATATATTTAAAAATTCGTTAACCGCACTGCCCAAAGATCTGAAAATCCGTTACATACACACATATATATCGCTGTATTTTAGACAAAAATTATTTGATGTATTTAGCATTTTCAACGAACTTTATGAAGAATGTAATCTAACGATCACACCTAATGCCAATCTCTTAGGTTTTAGTCTGTCAGTGTGCTATCAAAAAAATTAGAAAATTTGAACCCAATATTTGTTATATTTTGAAAGGCACACATCTGTAAAAGGTCTTATTTTATTCTTTAATGTGTAATTAAAATGTAGATAAATAAATTAGAACAATTTAGTGATCGTGTAAAATGGAAAAGAACTTAAGATATTACCTTTTTGATAATTACGAGTGACAGATTTCAAATTGTTACAGTTTATTTCCAGTGAGGAGCACGTATTTTTCTCAACGCCTAATGCATTTTCCAATATTACATTCACTATTTGCCATGATTTTTTAATGTCTCCGTTTTGCGCTGAAAAAGTTATATATACTCAAAAAACATACAAAAGATACCCAAAGTGACACGTCAAAATTGTTATTTTAATTACTTTGATTGTTTATAAAAATTAAAACGACATTATTAAAATAAAAAAATAAATAAGTTAAAAGAACTCCTCACATTTGTTATCAAAATGGTCAAAATTTTTTATAAAAATTAAAATTACATAATAAAATTAATATAAAGGGGAGTGACACAAAAGCAAACTGTAAAGTGTAAGAAAGAAAAACTTTTGAAAATTAAAATATATGCTAAGTATATGCCTCTAATTTTCAGAACAAGAAATTTATCATGGAACTTGTTTTGTGTAAAAAATAGCTATGATTAATTTTTTCGTTAAAGTAAATATTTTTGTCGGAGTTGCATATAATCCGTGCCTAATAGGGCTCGGTCGTGTCGGGCCGGGCCTCACTGATTTTTTTCTCCGTGCGTATTTGTGCGCGTTTTCGAATACGTACTTATTCTAACTCGTGTAAAGTAGTTTAGTGGCATAATCCGTCCCTGTGGGGAAAATCTCTAGTTCTGAACTGGTGCGCTTCCAGTACATTTAGACCCAGTACTGGTTCGCGATAAATCTCTTTTGCATGCAAGCAACTGGCGAATTCAACATGGCGATGTCCTAGGATGTGTCAATTGCCCCCCGCTGCATCCCTTTTTCGTTAGTTCTGAACTAGTCCTAAATTCTACAGTTCCGAAGCAGTTCTAAAATCGACAGACGAAAGAAAAGAGTATCATGATTTATCAACGTTTTTGGTTCTTCCGTGTGTGCGATTTTAAGTTATTTTCGATAACTTTCGAAATATGAGTTTCAAGCTACATACATGTATTTGTTGAAAATAGCATCTAAGAATAAAATCTGAATTTTTCACGGCATACACATGATCTTAGTTTCCCGTGCACAGCGTTAAATAATTTCACTACATTCCATATGACTATGTAGTACATTTTTCTAGATAGAAGCATTCCCCTGTTTTTATGCTATTGGTTGCTAATTGAATTAACCTTAAACTAACCCTATTGAGATTAAGCCCAGGGTGGCGTAAACAAAATTCTTTCAAAAGAGATTACAATCAGTAGTGGTTTCTATGCCATATAATTTGATGTTTACAGTATAAGACTATACAATATATGTAGCTGTTTTTATATGTTAGGTCAATTAAGTACTCTGTTTCGTCGAGATAGTCGAGATTCAAAATATTTGTCAAAACATGTTCACGCTAAGTAAGCAATTGTAATAATTTTTGATAAAGTGAAATGGAAAAATCGCTGCTTTACTAATACATATCGCCAGCTTAGAGTGAAAAGTTGGTATGTCCACGTTTTATGAAAACTCATATTTTGATATAGAAAGCAAGTGATGTTAAAAATGCATCGTTTCGAAAATGATTAAGGTACTTGTCTTATTTTTTTCTCGTTTATATTCAGTGAAACGAAAATTTGCTTAGTCCGAAAGAGGTACCGAAAATCCGGCAAAACCAAAATAATACGAAATCTTTTAATAAAGATCGTATCCTTCTTATTCGTATGGAGTTTTGTTTTGCTTAACAACTGTTGTATTTTCTAAATACTTGAAGGAAATGGCTACAAGAAGGTTTTTCCTCTCCTCTTAAATTAAGAAAAAAATGGACTTAGCAATTTTAAACTCTAAGCTAGCGATATAAATATGTAATGTAAATAATCTAATATTTTATTTATGCTACGCTTTGTTTTTGCCCAGCATCAGAACTGTTGATTTTGCTGTAGTTTTACAAAAGCGATCAAAAATTTTTACCTCTCTCTTTTACGAATTTGTGGCAATTGTTCATCCCAGTTGCAGGTGGGCCCTTCTGACTTGTTCTTTGACATAAGCTTTTGTTTGGATATTTGTAAAATGCATGATCTAAAGCAGAGGTTTACAAACTTCGTTTTATCGTAGACCCCTTTCAAAACTTTACTGGTTTCGGTGGACCCTCTGCTGCTACATTTCTAATACAATCCCAAAAAATGTGAAGATTAAATCTAACGATGTAAATTTGCATCGCGGGTTAGTTCCAAAACTAAATTTGGAGTGGCAAAAATAAAAATAAAATATTTTCTTGTGTTCTATTTATTAAAGCAAAATGATTCCACCACTTGCAAGTTTAAAAAAACAGAGCTCGTAAAGCCATTAAAGTACTCTCTCGCTCAGAGGAGTTATATTTTTTAAGATCACTCCGAGCGCTAGCGTTATTTACATTTTCTTCACCATAAACTCCTCGCATGTTCGGCTCACTCATGAATTTGCATGTGGCGTATTTTTAAAATAGTTTATTTTTGCTGATGGCATCATTTTTATTTTTTATCGCTCCGGGTTTTAAAGTGATGCGAAGAATATTTAGCACTCACATTTTTAAAACACAACTGTGGCCAAATGGTCAGATGTCTCATTGCCAGATACTCCCGAGTGACCTGGCACCCAGAGTAAAGCAAGCTCGCTATGTTTACCAACGTAATTTAGTCGAAATTTGCATTGCCCCGAACTAGTTTGGAAATAGTTAGAGGGCTGGCCAATACCTTAAGTGCAGCTTTGCTGTCACTTCAGACACGAAAAATCCTTCCCCTCCACCTATTTTCCACCACGTAGTCTATGGCCTTGAGGATTTCAAATACCTTAGCCTGGAAGACAGAAGCATACTCCGCAAGAGAAAAGTGAAGTTTATCCCCATTAACATCGATAAAGTCCCCAGATCCTGACCCAGAGCGATCAGTGAAGATTCGACAATGTGTGAGTCCGGGCTCAGTGCTGGTATTAAACCGTAAAGTGACGGTAAGTGCCGCAGTACGTCAAGAGCACTATACGACACTCACAAAAATTAAAGTTAAGTGGAGAGGCTATCAAACAACCATTTTGGTTCTTTACTATCGAAAACAGATAAATTTTCGTTTACCCCCACTTACAACTCGTGGACCCCTGGGGGTCCACCTGGACCACTTTGGGAATCACTGATCTAAAGCTACATATGTATATACGGATGCATTTTTTACACTCATGAAGTCGAGCTAATGCTGTTACATACTACTTGTATTTGTGCTGCGTGTTATCACTTCAACTGGAGCAATCTACAGAGCTAGATATATTGCCTCAAAATGATACATGTGATGAATCCACCAGCAATCGATTTTAGCACAAAAATATACAAGTATTTCGCTTACTCACCTGTGTTGGCCATTCACCGCAAGCGATCGCTCCAAATACTCCACATTCGTGGGTCAGTCCTGAGACTTCTTTACCCGTCGGCTGCACTTGTTTGTATTTTTTCTCGGGAAATATTTTTCTAGCACTCTTAACAGCAGAGTCGCATACATCTGAAAATTTAGAAATATACATAATTTTCATAATGGAATATCTATCAAAAGAACTGCAACTAACTTTAGAATTGACTATAAATATGGCCCATTGTTTTTAAAGCCCAAAAGTTTTTTCAAAAAATTGCTTAAACGTGCACTTAAAAACATTTTATTGATTTTGTTCTTCTACATTTGCAGAAATCACTGTAAACTCAAAAGTTATATCCTTACTTTTCGAAAAAAACACCTTTCAAGCGGGAAATAAAAAAATGTCTGCCATTCCTTCGATTTCACACAAATTTATGTTTGTGGATATCAAATTGTGCAGCCTTTTTCGACTAATTATTTAATCGGAAATCTTAAATATAAGCGCTTTTCTTAGCTCACAGCTGGAAGATGAAATACGTACCAATTACATTTGGACCTTCTCCACAGGATTTTGTAGTTTCTTTAAGAGACATGATCTTTGATTCAAAGTGACAGACCGAAATGCTTAGTGAAACTATTATTTTCGAAGAAATTTGTGATTACGTTTAAAATTTAATAGTTTCAATGTTATTATTTAATACTTTGTATAAAAAAATCAATCGCAAGTATCACGTAAAGCTAGTAAAATTTACGAAAATTCTTAATTATGAGCACGGAATTTCTAGCGACCGCTCATAATGCACTCAAAACACGAAATAAATGTAGCTGGCAACGATGGTCTGTCTTAAAATATTACAACTAATATTGTTTTGATGAGCTGTGAGGCCGATTAAATTGCAATTTGTATTAAATTGCTTATCAGCAGATTGGGGATTGCCTATAACGTCGCTTGTTGCTGTTCGCTTTGGAGATTGATAAGATTCGTTGACAGTCAAATCATCAAAACAAATAAAGCTATATATGAAAATAAGGTGGATATGTGCATATGTATATTTATTAGACCGTATCACAAAAAGAGTGAATTTTTTCAGTCTTAAAATAACCGTTCCAGATAATTGATAGGAGAAGATGAACAAGTTTTTAGTCTAACGTTTTTCGTCTGAGGAGACGAAAACAACTTTTCCATTGTTCAATAATAATCTCAAAGAAATATCCTTCCTTCCTGAGCAAACTGTACCTACGTTTTTCTTTACTTGGCCTTTCCAAAACAGAGGAGACCTTCCCCTTCCACTGCGCCACGAGCTAAAACTGCATCAATTACTTTTAGAAATAAGACTTTTGAACCCATCCGCAGGACATGAAACTTCTTATTAAATGGATATTCCCATGCGGTGGTGGGCTCCTTCCTGTCCGCGGGTAAAGTTCTTTCAAGCTTTTGTATGCATTTAGCATAGACAAACATGAAGTTTAGCAAAGGCAGTCAACGCGAAACAACAATAGGTCCATTCAATAACTTTTCCAGTAAGTACATGCAGCGAGAGCGTAAAAGAAAAATTGAGAGCAAGAGAATATTTTCAGAAAAAGTTATTGAACGCAAAACTAGTAAAAACTTGCAACTTAAGCCATTTTGATAGTTTCTCACGGTTAAGTTTTGGCGCGAAATTTACTTTTTAATTGGGAATAGTTCCCATCGTCATAAAAATAAAAAAATATACAATAGATTTAAATTTTTCATCCATATTTTCATTTCACTTATTATGTTTCATCAAATCATCCTCTTAAACAGTTTGTTTACATTTGAATTTTAAACATAACCTTACTTTTTGACTCCTGCAAATTCCTGTTAGTAAAATTTTTACTTACATGAATTTGCAGCTCTCTCGGGTTGTTACGCTCTCGCATTCGTTCTGTCTTGCAAATATTTTGGGTTGTTGAATGCATTTCCGGTAAAAACTTGCAAGTACTAGTAACAATTCGTAACAATTTTTTGATATTGAATGGACCTAATGATTGAATGGCGCTCAATTTTTCTCCCGTTTTTGTTTTAGTTACTGTGTGTTGCTGAGATTATTTTAAACGTTGTGCTTCCAAACATGATGTGTTTGGTGTATGTGAGCCACGTCGACCACAGTGATGTTGTTGTGCAGCAAAGTGAGCCAACTGAGCTACTGGGTAAGCACCCCATAGTCTCTATGGTATGCACCATCGCCAACGCTCAAAAGCTCCATAGGTTTCGGGTCGAAGGATCTGTTCACTAAAGGATGAAAGGATGGATAACGACCCATGCGTACAACATAGCCAAAACAGCGTGACTATAATATTTTATGCGCTTAACTATGTCCATGTCGTTGAAAAGCTCTTACACTGAGGGCAAAAAATAGTCAAATCAAACAGAAACTTAGTTGATCTTTCTATAAACGTCAACGAAAACAATACGCGCATATTAAAATTAATTGTTCGTTTTGAAAGAGCACGCGAGAAGTGAATAATCAAAATAAAAACAAAAAATAATAATAATTTGCATGTTGCCTGCAATGGAATTTGAACCCTGACCACCTGGAAATCAACAAATTGTGGCAAGCATCTTTGCGCACTCAGCTACAGCCAGACATGTAAATGTCCTTTCAAGTGTTTAGTGTACTATGTATGAATGTGTGTGTTTTCACCGCTCCGCATGCTTGGTATACATACCCAGTACGGCATAGCTCTTCCAATTGAGATAAACCAAATGCTTATACTTTCGATACATATCTTTGCAAATAATTCAATATTAGTTGAAAAGTCATCTAACTCTGGGAAATTAACTATTTCAGAATGAAAAGACATCTGCAAACGAAACATACTGACTGTAAAGTTCTTTAAGCCAAATGCATTTTAAAGTACCTAGTTGAAATCAAATCCAGAGTCTGACAATCGACTTGTTGCTTGCACACAATTCAAAATGAATATTTGAAAGCACATTTACATGTCTGGCTGTGGCTGATCGTGCAAAGATTCCTGTTGTTACTTGTTAGCTTCTAGAAGGTCCGGGTACGAGTCCCAACAGAGACAATATGTGAAAATGTATTTTCAGATTCTACTTAATCTGGAGGCTTATTAACATTTTACTTCTAATATTTTTATTTAGTAAAATGTTAATAAGCCTCCAGATTAAGAAGAATCTGAAACTACATTTGGTATAAGTAAAACCTCTAGGTAAATTAACAGCATAGTCCAACTAGTACGACAGGAATGTTTATTTCACAATCCCAAGGGTCACAGACGTTGCATAGATGTGTTCTTCCGAATGCGACCAAAGACATATCTTCTGTATCAAACATCCTTACCATTTGCACATCATATAAAAAGACAAGCAAAATTAGAGAGTTTAACTGCGAAATTCTCTGTTCTCCTATTGCCTACCGAGTCCAAATTTCCACCGTTGGCGGCATGAAGAATATCGTTCGATCCCAATAGGCGGAAGATCGGAATGCAAGAAGCATTCTAGGCAAATTTTGGTACTTTTAGCAGATAAGTCAGCATTTTAAGCGATATATGAAGACATCAAACGGATTAAAATACATATTTGCATAGAAGGTGCGGGCGTAAAAATAATTCCAAAGCGTGGTGAAGTGCAGGTGCAGGAAATTTGCAAATATCTAATTTTTAAATTTTAATGTAGACCTAAAGCAAGATGATATCTTCATGTACACTGATTTAAAGTGTGGTGACTATCCGTTCTTTATTTGGAAGGACAGTCCTTTATTGTAAATTTCTGTCCTTTATAATTTTTTTCCCAAAATAAATAACAGCTTCTGTCCTTTATTTTTTAACTTGTCCTTTAAATGAGATCCGGATTTTTCAAAGGTATGCGAGGAACTGAGGTCAATTTTTAAACCGAGAATATTAAAAAAATAAAAATGTCCCTTATAAAATATAATGAAAAGCTTCGGTTTTTATCTAATCGGTGATCTTTGTACAATCTATAAATCACGAATCATTGCTTACATTGATATGGAATATTTATATATTTAATTTACAAAATTAATTTATATTTTGACATTTTCCTAGAAAAATTAATATGCTTTGAGTTAAATTCATTGTTCTCAAATGTACAGGAAAAGGTGTGCCCAGGGTCGTGTGGCACGCTGAGTTTCCAGTTCCACCGAAAAAAGAATAATAAACCCCCGCTGGCTTCGTTGTGTAATAACTTATAATAACGGTGACCATTCGTACCGATTTTGGCGAGAAAATTGTCGCGCTGAATATTTTTTAATAGACAGTACGTATACGTGTCGCGATTTTTCATATTTGTACCGATTAAGTCCCGATTTTTCAGTGTTTTCTTTATTAATTTAATAAGAGTATCCTGATACTGCTACCCAAAAACAATTTTTCGCACAAACATGACAGCACTTTCGTTATCACAAACGACGTAGAGTATAAGGGAGCCATAATCACATTTTCTGTGATTTTTTGGTTATGTTTTATTCTGTCAAACTGTCGCTATATTGCAGTCTGCCATTCTTTTCCCAGTTTTTGACGTAGAATACGTCTTACGTTTTGATATGGAGGCTATGTTGAAATGTTGTAGTTGTAATTTTTAGAGCTTCACGAAAACGCTTATTGCACGAGAACTAATGAAGCGATTTGAAAGAAAAGTGTGGCGTTTCAAAGATATAATTCCAAACTTATCGACAGATTCATTATTGTAAGTAACCAATTCGGTTTCTGTCGTAAAAACAACGGTAAACATTGGCTTGTTTTGGGGTCAATTTTAGTGCCTTTAAAGTGCTCCAGCAGCTTATGATTTGCAGATATAACTTTCATTTTCGCGATAGGGATTCTTTGGAGCAATAGATATATTATCGTGTACAGATTTTATATAAATTCAACAAATATTGATCATTTTAAGGCAAAAAATTTTTGAAAAAATTTGCAATTTTTTTATTACCAAAAAGCTCGAAAACCGCATATATGGGCATAAATGATTTCCCATACAAAATCACTTCGTCATTGTTTTGCAAACACGTGCATGCGTTGGAAGTGAGGGAAGGAGACAAAAAGTATGTATGTGTGCGTAAGTACATATTTCAGCTTGTGATAAACATATGGCGCAATATTTATAACCTAATCGCGCGTATGTACATATGTCAATACATACATACGTACATATGTTGATTGCAGTTAATGTGGATCTGTTTCTATTTTTTAGTAATCTATGTATGTCTATACATATTATATATGTACATACATATATGTATGAACACATGTATGCATAATGCGCGAAAACTTTTTGAAGTGAAACAACACTTAGAAAAAGACCAATCCAAGAATAAAAGTAAAGGTGAGAACGTACATAGATAAAGAAAAGGCTAAAGGTAAAGGTAAAAATAAAAACAAAAACAAAGATGCGTAAAGATAAAGGCAAAAATGAAGGCCAAGGTAAATTTAAACACTTTACTTATATAAGGGCAAAGGTGAAGGTGATAAAAATAAAAACAAAGATAAATATAAATATAAAAAAAATATAAAAAAAAGAGGAGGATGAGGATACCGATAAAGTATAGATGAAGATAGACGAAGAAAGATTAAAATGAAGACAGTTGTGGAGAAAAGTATATAGATAGATGCACAGAGACTCAATCTGGGAACTATTTCGGAATTTTAGAGATTCCCGGGACTTATCGATATAATAATCGATATCTTGTCGGTTTTTTATCGATATTTTTAACGATTTTGTTATCGAAATTTTTATCGATATTTTTATTGACTTTGCTATCGATATTTTCGGAACTTATCGATATAATGATCGATATTTTTTATCGATTATGTTATCGATATTTTCATTGATTTTGTTATCGACTTTGTTATCGATTTTACTAACGGTTATTTA